GGAAGGAAGGAAGGAAGGAAGGAAGGAAGGAAGGAAGGAAGGAAGGAAGGAAGGAAGGAAGGAAGGAAGGAAGGAAGGAAGGAAGGAAGGAAGGATGATGAGATGGGAAGAAGAGAGAAAAGAAACAGAGAAAGAAAGAATGGAGGGAAGTAAGGAGGGATGGGGAAAGGGGTGCAGGCAGGGGGAGCAGCGCTGGTGATGGAGAGCCTGAGGGTCCCTGGAAACACTGCCCCAGGTGAGGGCAGCGCTGCTGCCTCCACCGTCACCCGGGCACGGCTCCCCTTCCAGCACAGTTAATCCCGACCCCAGCTAATCCTCTCACAGGTCACTGGGGGTTCATTGCATTTTGTTCACTTCTCAAATGCATCTAGAATTAATTAAAAAAAAAAACCGACCCTAAATTCTTCCTGTGGCAGAAGCATTAGGTGTATTGCCCCGGGGGTGTGCTGGAGGGGTTAGAGAGGAGCAGCCTTTTCTGGTCTTATTTAAAAAAAAAAATAGGAGATACATTAATGGGTGCCGCCAGGATGGGCAGGAGGAAGACTCAGGATGGGAGACCAGATTGGTGTTGGGCAGCCACCCTGACAGGTCAGCTCTGCAAGGCCTCTTTGGTCCTGTTTGACTTCCAGGGACTGTAAAGTTTTAAATATTCACTGTTAAGAGTTTGTACCTATTTCATTCTCCCCTGTGGCTCTAACGAGGGAGAGGATCTCATTCCATGTGTGAGCAATCCCTTGGTCTGCTGAGAAGCCARCAAATAACTGTGGCTCTTGAAAAATCAACTTTGGGGATAAAAAATGGTTGTGCCTGGATTGCAGCAGGGGAAAACATTTTGGGCGTGAGGTGGTAGCACACATGGGTCTGTGTCCAGCACCTGGGAGGCTTGGGCAGGTTGTTAATGCTCCTGCTTGTGGTGCAGGGCTTCTGAAGGGTTTCTTGATTCTCAGTCTGGATCTGGGGAGCTGGATTTCAGTAAAAGGCAAGCCAGGGTATCATTGCAAGCTGGGATGATGCAGCCCCAGGCAGGATGTGCCTGGCAATGCTCCCTRGTGCTGCTGGCCCTGGACACTGTGTAATGGAAAGGGTGTGTTTGTCCCAGCGTGTCCCCGGGCGCTGGAGCTGATTGCAGGAATCGAGCGCATCGATCGGGCCGGCGGATCCGGCACAGCGCGTCCAGCCCGGCGGCTGCTTTGTGCTCCAGGCATGAGCTGGGGTGTCACGGGGGCTCTGCAGCCTCTGCCCCACCACCTCACTGCCCTGTGCAGGTCTCAGTGCCAGCGAGGTGCTTCCATCCCAGTGACACACCCCATGCTGCTGAACCATAGGGTGACCTGTGGTGGGGGTGGTTTGAGGAGAGTTCCTGTGGTGCCATCACTTTGAGGTGCTTGGGATGTGCCAGGTGGCTTCTCCACCATCCTGTCCGCTCCCTGACTCAGGCTCACGAGGGGGGTCCAGTGACCTGTAGGGTGTCACTGGGCTCCCATACCATGGGCTCACATCCACCTGGCTTGGGCCACCTTTCCCATGTCCGTGTCACCTCTGTCCCAGGCAAAACCGAGTGAAGGTCCTTGACCCTGCAGCTGAGCCTTCCAGAAGGGACCAAAACAGCTCCCCATTCCCCAGTGGCAGCTGTTCCTTCATGAGACTTGGCCAGCTAAACTCATCTGTGACCATAGATGGCTCCATGTCCCAATGGATACCTTGGGAAAGTTGCTCCTCAGGACATCTGCCCCAAAAATGTGCCTTCCTGGGGCCTTCTCCAGCCGGCTGCACGTTGACTGTGTCCTCTCCCATCCCTGGGCAGGGGGACAGAGGTTAAATCCACATCTCCCTGTGCATTCCCTTGAGCCCACAAGAGCTGGTGCTCCGAGGTCGGCGTTGGGCTGGGCATCGGTCCATCTGGCACGGGCAACTGATGGAGCTGCTTCCAGGAGTACCTTTATTGATATCTGTGTCCCAAGGAGAGCAGCTYGGCCTCTCCGCTTTCCTCTCTGGCAGCAGAGCTCGTGGGAAAAGCAAAGTGGGGAAACTCCAGGTTTTTCATCTGCTGGAGTTGCTGAGTATCCCATAAATAAGATTTATTCACTTGCTTTGTATCGTGAAAGAACAAACCCTAACACCTTCTCCCTTCCCTCTCTGTGTTTTCTGGGAGCAGCCCACCACAAAATGGAGAATTAGAGCAGTGCAGGAGGTTGYCACTCAGAACTGTTGGCCAAGCAGCCCCTGGGGTCCCTGTGCCATGAGAGGTAATGGCTCTGTCTTTGTTTTCTCATTGCAGAGCCTCTCATCGGATCCACGTGGTGACGTGGCAGCCAAGACGTGGAAGTTTGGGACTTCTCTTCCACCACAGCCAAATTTGGGGGGTGGGCAGGGGTGGGTCAGGGGGACATTGGGAGTCACAAGACCCTTCACCTTCACTGTGGGCTTGGCTCAGGGATGACTACAGGCAGAGTCAAYCCTTACAGCATCGTGTCCTCCGAGGAAGACGGGCTGAGGTTGACCACCATGCCAGGTATCAACGGCTTTGGCAATGGCAAAATCCACACCAGGAGGAAATGCAGGAACAGGTTTGTAAAGAAGAATGGTCAGTGCAAYGTGGAGTTCACCAACATGGATGACAAGCCGCAGAGGTACATTGCAGACATGTTCACCACGTGYGTTGACATCCGCTGGAGGTATATGCTCTTGCTCTTTTCCCTGGCGTTTCTTGTGTCCTGGTTATTGTTTGGGCTGATTTTCTGGCTAATTGCACTCATTCACGGAGACCTAGAAAACCCGGGTGGAGACGATACATTCAAGCCTTGCGTTCTGCAGGTCAATGGCTTTGTGGCTGCTTTTCTGTTCTCCATCGAGACCCAAACGACGATCGGGTACGGCTTCCGCTGCGTGACCGAGGAGTGTCCGCTCGCCGTCTTCATGGTGGTGGTTCAGTCCATCGTGGGCTGTATAATTGACTCTTTCATGATTGGTGCAATAATGGCAAAAATGGCCAGGCCCAAAAAACGGGCCCAGACATTGCTTTTCAGCCACAACGCGGTAGTGGCGATGAGAGATGGAAAACTCTGCCTGATGTGGAGAGTCGGGAACCTACGGAAAAGCCACATAGTGGAAGCCCACGTACGAGCTCAGCTAATTAAGCCCAGGATCACGGAGGAAGGGGAGTACATCCCGCTCGACCAAATAGACATTGACGTGGGCTTTGATAAAGGCTTGGACCGTATTTTCTTGGTGTCTCCCATCACCATTCTCCACGAGATCAACGAAGACAGCCCCTTGTTCGGGATCAGCCGCCAGGACTTGGAGACAGATGACTTTGAGATCGTCGTCATCCTGGAGGGCATGGTAGAGGCCACAGCCATGACGACGCAAGCTCGGAGCTCCTACCTGGCCAGCGAGATCCTGTGGGGCCACCGCTTCGAGCCCGTCTTGTTTGAGGAGAAAAACCAGTACAAAGTAGACTATTCCCACTTCCACAAAACCTACGAGGTGCCGTCCACGCCCCGCTGCAGCGCCAAGGACTTGGTGGAGAACAAATTCCTGCTGCCCAGCACCAACTCCTTCTGCTACGAGAACGAGCTGGCCTTCATGAGCCGCGACGAGGAAGAGGAAGACGACGACAGCCGGGGTCTGGAGGACCTCAGCCCGGACAACAGGCACGAGTTTGACAGGCTTCAAGCCACAATAGCGTTGGATCAGCGGTCGTACAGGAGGGAGTCGGAAATATGACTCTTGGTCCTTCCGTTGACTTTTCCAAGGGTATTCTTTTTCCTCCTCTAATCTTTTCCCCTACAACCCGCTCAAATTATGCAGAACAATGCAAGTGCCATAGGAATGCTTGAGAAATTAGTATCGTTCATAGTTTTCAGTTTCATCGCAATAACCACTGAGCGGTCTGCAGGAGGGGATGGTGGCAGGCCACGGCGCGTCCCCCGCGCCCGGCGCCCGTGGCGGAGCCCACGGCTCTGGGGGATGGATGGATAGGTGGACAGAAGGATGGATGGATGGATGGATGGATGGATGGATGGATGGATGGATGGATGGATGGATGGATGGATGGATGGATGGAAGGATGGAAGGAAGGATGGATGGACAGAAGGAAGGATGAGGAGAGGAGGGTCTGTGGGGTGTGGGCAGGGGCTCGTCCCTGTGGGGCTTTGCTCTCCCCGCGGGGAAAACGCCGGTGTTTTCCTGGAGCTGAGCACTGCGAGATCCAAAAAGAGGAAATATCAGGAAACAAATCTCACTCTTTGTCTCTTTCTTTTTTTTCTTTTTTTTTTTCCTTTTACTTTTTAACTGAGCAGCAACAACAAAACTATTGCTCCTTCGGCAGGCGGTCTGGTTCAGTTGCACAAGAACAACACTTGAAATAACATGCAACATTAACGTACTTGTTTTTAATTTGGGGGAAAAAACAGGGGAGGGAGGTGAGAGGGTTTTTAATTTTTTCACCGCACCATTTGGGAGACTGTTTACCAAAATAATAATAATAATTATTATTATAATTATAACAATAATAATAATATTATTAAATCTGAAAGATGTAATTCAGTATTTTTTAAAAATGAACAAGGGAATGAAGAAGCCACTGGGGTCCTTTGAGGGCTTGACTTGTTGGGTTAGATGCAAGAGCTAAAAATGGAGATTGCATCCAACTTTGGGGTGTTTTTTTACCACTGGCATGGCTTCATGGACAGAATAGAGATGTAAGTGACTGGAGGTCTGTGGCAGTGAAAGCAAGTAGTGGAATTATTGTTAAAGAAGGTAATGATAATAAGCAGGACTGTGTGAGAAAAAAGCACTGTAAACACGGTAATTAGCCAATTTCTGGGAATGTTGGGTTTCAGGGTGGAAATGAGGTCTGGAGAATCAGCTGCTGAAGAGTTGGGTSTGCCCCAACATCTCTGATGGGGAATTCATGAGGCTCACCATAACTTGGACAAAACAGTGAAAAGCACAAAAAGGAGAGTGGAAAGCTCTCAAAATTGGGTATTTTCCCACTTTTCTGACCGATTTGGTATTTTTCTTCCCTGAAGAATATTTTCAAACGTGGAAATCGATGTGAAAGTCATCTTGTTGGGCTGCACTTCTTCTAGCACAGGAGCCGTGTCCGTGCCAGGCTGGGCTTTATGAATTCCCAACCCACCAGGGAGTCCTGCTTCGGAGGCAGATGTTTTCCCCAAAACAACAGATGCCAGTCGAGAAAATCACCCCATCTTGCGCTTCAKCCCATCCCTGTGTCCCAGCCTCGAGGTGGATTGTGCCTTAGAGATGCGAACTCACCCCGTGTCCCAGCCCTTCTCCACAGCCCCCATCCTGCATCCCCCGCTCCGGGTGACTCCCCTTTTGCTCTGCAGCACCCCCATCCCATCACCCACCGCCTTCCAGGCTGGCCTTGGTGACAACCTGGTTTAGCTGTAGCTCTGGCATGAGGCAAAGCTCCCCATGTGTGGGAAGCCTTCGCTGCTGCCCCGCTCTCCGCAGAGGGAAGGAGTCAGGAAGGTGAAGGTTTGGCGGGTCCCTTCACCTGGCTGTGCTGCTCCTTGGTGCTCTGGGAGCCAAAACCTGGCTCCCTGCTCCCTGTGGCYATGGGAAAGGCTTTGTACCCGCTTCTGACCCTGGGCATGGAGAGAGGGGCTCGACAGTGGGGTATCCCACAGCATTTTGGCTGTGACAGGCTCCCGGTGCTTTTCCACACCAGGGAAGCCACGTCCTGGGGTCAGGACTTGCTGTGATGTGTCCAAACACGGGGGGCAAAAGCAGGATCTGTTCTGGGCCCCCATCCCCATCTTCTTCTTGCCAAGGGCTCTGGGGAGAGGCTGCCACGAGTGTCCCACCGTCCCCGTGCTGGAGACCAGGACACCATTCCTGATGGGACATCATCCATCCCACCAGTGTCTGTCACCATCACCCCACACTGCCCACCGAGGGGCTCCTGTGTTTTTGGCTTCCATTAAAAACCACTGGGAGAACAAACATCCCCAGGGGCAGCACTGTGAGGCAGCTTTTCCRGCACTGAGTGCCCCAAATGGATTGTCCCCAAAAGTGGGGACATGTAGGGATGTGCCATTGAGCTCCAGCCATGACATTTGTGTTTCTAAGGCAGCGAAGGCGGATGCCATCCCATCACCAATCCCTTTGCTCCTCGGGGGGTGGTTTTACCCCCTGCTTTTTGCACCACAGCATCTTGGGGGGGTGGTGGGAAGGATGGAGGGGGGGGGCAGAGAGGTTTTGTGTGAGCACTACTTATTTATTTTTTTAAAAACAAATGCTTTTAAGTGGTTTTAGGTTCTTTTGAATAAATAATAATTATTAAAAAAAAATAAAAAGGTGCACATCTTGCTGCTGTAGAGTTCTCAGAGGGTTAACTTCTTTATAAATATATATATATATATCACAGTAAATATTTGTATAAAAATGAAAGAGAAATAGAGATGTCTTTAAGTAAATTATTGCTTTTAAAGAAACTTCTATGATTGTACAGTGTTACCTGGGAGAATAGAATAATATATACAGATGTATTTTTAAACTGCTGTGTGGGAGGATGYGAACTGGGACAGGAAGCCGTGGCTGGCATGGTGAGGGGATTTCGGACCTTCCCTGGCCCCATGTTCACACACCCCGTGCCCCAAACCCTTCTAGTGAGGGTCTATCTCTGGTGAGATGTCCTCTATCTACTGTACAGTCCTTGTCCTGACCATGGACCACGCCGGTACATAGTGTATAGATAATATTTTTGCCTACCTGTGAGTGCTCAGAGTCACTGGTCTTTTTTCCTACCACCAGGGAGCATCGGGAAGGCTGCCTAGCCATAGTTTAAATCCCAGGAATTATCAAAGAAAGGGGCAAAAATAGAAAAAAAACATATAAAAAARGTGGAAAAAGCCCAAGTTCATCATTTGTGTTTCCTTAGGGAGCTGGGAAGGCGCAGGGATGCTCTCAGGGTGTGGGTTTTTGTGGAGTGGAATCCCTGTTGGAGACCAGC